ATTACAAGAGGAAACTAGATTTATTCCTCCAAGGAGTGCCGGACCAACCGGGCTGTGGTGGGTGTGTGGCCCTGCGGGCCGATCCAAGCAACAGCCTGGTGGACCAAACTCTCACAAGTCAAGCCTGGCTTGGGGAGTAGAAGAACTCCCAGAACCCCATCAAGCAGGTATCAAGCAGTCATACACTGGGCAGATGCCGAGAGGCACTCACCCGACGTTGACAGGCACTCAGCAGACACCGACAGATAGCAGACACGGATAGTGTGTTTGTATGGTTGCAGGAACAACACTGGAAGCTGACGTCATGGTTGGATGTTTGTGTGTGCGCGCGCGCGCGCGCGTGTGTGTGTGTGTGTGTGTGTGTGTGTGTGTGTGTGTGTGTGTGTGTGTGTGTGTGTGTGTGTGTGTGTGTGTGTGTGTGTGTGTGGTTACCATATAAATTACAAATAGAAGTGGAGTCACTAACTGGAAATTGAGAAACTCCACAAAACTGACTGTTCTCTGATGTATTCACAAACTTAAATGGGAAACACAGTATACATCAATACCTCACACACACATTCACTCACCACGGTCTGTGATAATGGATGAAGGATAGCAGGATGAAGGATAGCAGGATGAAGGGGTAGCCTAGTCAAGGTTCTCAAGGGTCCTGGGTTTCCAGCCGTGAACCCCCCCCCCCCCAAACGTGAACGAGGATCTTCCCGCCAAACACACACCGAAACTACGACGTTGATACAACGTTCCAACAAGCTTTAACACCTCCTAACTAGTTATAACAACCAATATAGCAAGTTGTAACAACGTTCTAATATGTCATAAACACGTTAAGCCAAGATGTAACAACTTTATTACAAGTTGTAACAAGCGGAAAATAGAGACAGTTTCGGTTTGTGTTTCCAGGGTTTCTGTCTATCTGCGCTTGTTCCAGTGTTTATCTGGGAGTCAAGGAGTTAAGCTCCGCCTCTATGAGATAGCCTGATGCTATCTTGCTACGAAATATATGGAAAAGGTGGCTGTCCTTTGATAGAAGCCGACACAGATGACAGTTATCCGATTAGGAAGTTGTGGTATCTGACTAATCATTAACATGTGGTCTACCTGGCCTGAGCTCTTGGGTAAAAGTGGCATTTTAGAACATTACAAGTGAGAGTTTCAATTCTCAGGCAGCAGTACCATGACAGTTTCCTGTCTCCTGCAATACTCCACTTCTCTATGTTAATTTATAACTAAAACCACTTATGGTGCTACAAAGTAGTAGGACCGGCATATATAATGTTGGAGCAGGCTCGGCAAAAAAAGTCAACAACGGAAGGCAATTGTGTTGAATTCAAAGACTAGGGATGTTTGATCAGTCCCACAGTGTGTGTGAAGTGACGGAATATGCTTGTAGAAACTGCTTGTATCTTCCACCAGTAATTTTCGTGAAAAAATGGAATCCAGGTGCAATTACATTTCTGTAGTGACGACAATGTAGCTGAATTGTTCCAGTTCATTTGGCACTATAGCTGAGATAAATTTAACTTGAAAGGTTAAATGGTATTAGTAAAGCCTTTTAAAGAGCTTCTGTGAAGCTCCAGGTGGAAGGGAATAGGTTGAAAAAAGGTCAACTCTGAAAGCCACCTGAAGAATTAATGTCCAAGCCTTTACTTATTGACCACTGGGGGGTCCTAGTCAAGGGCCGGGCTGGGAGACATTGACCCTCGTGACCAAATGAAGGCCTCAAAAAACCGTCTTGAGGATGTCTTTGTTTTTTCACCATTTTCCTTAAAATTTTGTTCGAACGAATTGGGTTTGCTAAATAACCTAGGTTATGCTAGGTTATAAGTAGATATCGCCAAAATACAAGAGAACAGTCGAATTATCGTCACATGTAAGCGTCCGCTGTGCCTGTTGTCCAGTACTAACCAAAACTCACTATTAAATTAGAAATGTTTTGTCTGTTTTAAGAGCCTAACTCACTAGAATTGTTCATGGTGGTGTTGGAGAACGATAAGTGTGTGGCAGGCAGCCAGCCTGGAGCTCAGAAGCCCGAGCCTGGTGTTATTCCATGCTGGTCGTCGCCACTTTGTCAGGGGGTGAGACAGGCCCCGCCCACCGCCATGTTTGTCAGCCATTAACAGCACACTTGACACCCGGCCGGCCTGCTACTCCTTTAACTTTCCCGCCGCTCGCCTCTCTAGTGTTATCGTCCAGGCCACCTCCACCTCTACTACTCTTTTGTTCTTTCTTATTTTACGATATTATTAGATTATGAATTTAGGTAATAATGACAGCTATGAATTATGATAATGGTAGTTTTGAGTTATGATGATTTATGGCTATCTTGATGAAACATCTAATGTGTTGAAGAATTCTTAGAATGTAGTGTTTAATATGTGTCCTTCGTTACCTTCAGCTGGTATAGCATCTGTGCTCGATGATTCCCACAACGCTTTGGAGAAGCAGTGAGTGGTCCCAGTGCTCATCACTATCACCCACAGCGTCGCTTCTGCGTAGCCTAGTGATGTGAATATATCAGCGTGACGCGGGCAAAAGAATCGCTGCTCTCATTTCGCCCCTTCTGTTTCTGACTATCATTGTGTTATACTTTCCTGTATGCTGCTTCAGCCATTGTGGCATCGGAGTGGTGGTCTCGAGGTAGACCTAGACCTTCCAGGTCTATACATGGCTTTTTACATATAGGTCTGTATGTATAGACCTTCCAGGTGTATACATATACAACCCTTCTTCGCATCATTCACGCTTGCCGGCTGATCATCTTACCTTGCCATGCCTTTCCTTAGTATTTTGCTCCCTTTCCTTAGTAGAAATCCAGCCCATCAGTAAGTAATAAAAATAATAAATAATAAATAATAAATAAATAATTCCTTAGTAATAAAATCCAGCCCATCAACCGTGAAGAGCTCAGTCCCCCAGGGTACTGTGCTTGCTCCAGTACTTTTTCTCATCCTCATATCGGACATAGACCAGAACACAACCTATAGCACTGTATCATCCTTTGCAGATGACACTAGGATTTTCATGAGAGTTGGCAACATAGAGGACACGGCAAACCTCCAATCAGATGTAGATCAGGTCTTTCTATGGGCTACAGAAAATAATATGGTGTTTAACGAGGATAAGTTCCAGCTCATGCGCTACAGAAAAATAGAAAATATAAAAACAGGAACCACGTACAAAACTCAGGCAAATCATAACATAGAACGAAAAGGCAATGTAAAGGACCTGGGTGTACTCATGTCGGAAGACCTTACCTTTAAAGAACACAATAAAGTAGCCGTCACAACTGCAAGAAAAATGACAGGTTGGATAACAAGAACTTTTCACACTAGAGATGCTATACCGATGATGATACTTTTCAAAACGCTTGTGCTATCTAGAGTGGAGTACTGCTGCACAATGACAGCCCCTTTCAAAGCTGGAGAAATTGCTGACCTAGAGAGCGTGCAGAGATCCTTTACTGCTAGAATCCACTCAGTAAAACATCTAAATTACTGGGACCGACTAAAGAGCCTAAATCTGTACTCCCTTGAGCGCAGGCGGGAGAGATACATAATAATTTACACGTGGAAAATAATTGAGGGGCTGGTCCCAAACCTGCACACAGAAATAACACCACATGAGACCAGAAGACATGGCAGGATGTGCAGAATACCCCCGTTGAAAAGCAGAGGTGCAACAGGTACTCTGAGAGAGAACTCTATCAACATCAGAGGCCCGAGACTGTTCAACACGCTTCCACTACACATAAGGGGCATAACTGGCCGACCCCTCACAGTGTTCAAGAGAGAACTGGATAAGCACCTCCAAAGGATACCTGATCAACCAGGCTGTGACTCATACGTCAGGCTGCGAGCAGCCGCGTCTAACAGCCTGGTTGATCAGTCCAGCAACCAGGAGGCCTGGTCGACGACCGGGCCGCGGGGACACTAAGCCCCGGAAGCACCTCAAGGTAGCCTCAAGGTAGTATTTTGCTCCCTTACCTTAGTATTTTGCTCGGTTTCCATTAGTATTTTGCTCCTTTTCCTTAATATTTTGCTCCCTTTCCTTAGTATTTTGCTCTCTTACCTTAGTATTTTGCTCCTTTACCTTAATATTTTGCTACCCTTCACACACTCGTCATTACAGTTGGGAGCTACAGTATTAGCGTGACCAGGGGACTCGGAACATTGTATTAGAGCCGGGAGATACAGTCTTAAACAACTCCGTAGCCCTTCCCCTCTACACATTCCAGGCCTTCTTGACGGAGCAAAATGGCTCGTATAAGGGGATTTTCAAGCCTGCGGCTGGAGCCCTTGGAAGTTGGTGAACGTTGCTGAACCAATGAATGGCCTTCAGCTGTCGTAGGTGGCACACTGTACGCCTACGTCGGTGACCTGACGTCGGGGGGTGACTTGACGTCGGGGGGACGTCACCCCAGTCCGACCCGTGAGATGGTCCGCTGCGTGTAGGCTCTTCACCTTGTCGACTGTTACCCTTGGGGGGGGGGGAATCTGGACTGGGATTCGTCAAGGATTTTGGTGTCCACTTAGAGATCTGTGCATCTTTCTCGATCATGGCGGCTTAGTCTGTATTTATTGTACAGTTTACGAGGCTGGAAACGCTGTAACGTCGTGATCGACCCGAGATTATTGGTATGGACATAGTCATAACGCTTCATAGCTCATAAACTTTTTAATAAATGCACAGCTGCCTTGATTACGTAAAGATGTATAGGCTTCGTACGTGAATGGGTAAATGATGAATCCTAGTTCTAGACTGCAGTTGGCAAGAGGTAAACTCCGCCACAACTGGCGCAGGCCACCCCTGGTGACCAGCGGGGTCCCCTCAACACACTGCGCAGTCAGCTCTCCGACAACAAGCGCTCACCTGTGTCCACAATAGGCACGATTAATCGGCTAGATAATGCGTGTCCAGGTGACCTTTGTTGGCACAGTCCATCTGCCTGTCGGACCATAACGACCTGGTGGTCGGGAAGCGTTGGGGGTCTCGGCCACATGTGTCGTGGGGTCGTCAGGGAGACCCCCGGGGTCGTCAGGGAGGACCCCGGGGTCGTCAGGGAGACCCCCGGGGTCGTCAGGGAGGACCCCGGGGTCGTCAGGGAAGACCCCGGGGTCGTCAGGGAAGACCCCGGGGTCGTCAGGGAGACCCCGGGGTCGTCATGGAGGACCCCGGGGTCGTCATGGAGAACCCCGGGGTCGTCAGGGAGGACCCCGGGGTCGTCAGGGAGGACCCCGGGGTCGTCATGGAGGACCCCGGGGTCGTCATGGAGGACCCCGGGGTCGTCAGGGAGGACCCCGGGGTCGTCAGGGAGGACCCCGGGGTCGTCAGGGAGACCCCCGAGGTCGTCAGATAGACCCCCGGGGTCGTCAGAGAACCCCTGGGATCGTCAGAGAACCCCTGGGATCGTCAGAGAACTCCTGGGGTCGTCAGGGAGACCCCGGGGTCGTCAGGGAGACCCCGGGTTCGTCAGGGAGACCCCGGGGTCGTCAGAGAACCCCTGGGATCGTCAGAGAACTCCTGGGGTCGTCAGGGAGACCCCGTGGTCGTCAGGGAGACCCCCGTGGTCGTCAGGGAGACCCCCGGGGTCGTCAGGGAGACCCCCGGGTCGTCAGGGAGACCCCGGGGTCGTCAGGGAGACCCCCTTGGTCGTCAGGGAGACCCCCTTGGTCGTCAGGGAGACCCCCGGGGTCGTCAGGGAGACCCCCGGGGTCGTCAGGGAGACCCCCGGGGTCGTCAGGGAGACCCCCGTGGTCGTCAGGGAGACCCCCGTGGTCGTCAGGGAGACCCCCGTGGTCGTCAGGGAGACCCCCGTGGTCGTCAGGGAGACCCCCGTGGTCGTCAGGGAGACCCCCGTGGTCGTCAGGGAGACCCCCGGGGTCGTCAGGGAGACCCCCGTGGTCGTCAGGGAGACCCCCGTGGTCGTCAGGGAGACCCCCGTGGTCGTCAGGGAGACCCCCGGGGTCGTCAGGGAGACCCCCGGGGTCGTCAGGGAGACCCCCGGGGTCGTCAGGGAGACCCCCGGGGTCGTCAGGGAGACCCCCGTGGTCGTCAGGGAGACCCCCGTGGTCGTCAGGGAGACCCCCGGGGTCGTCAGGGAGACCCCCGTGGTCGTCAGGGAGACCCCGGGGTCGTCAGGGAGACCCCGGGGTCGTCAGGGAGACCCCGGGGTCGTCAGGGAGACCCCCGTGGTCGTCAGGGAGACCCCGGGGTCGTCAGGGAGACCCCCGGGGTCGTCAGGGAGACCCCCGGGGTCGTGAGGGAGACCCCCTTGGTCGTCAGGGAGACCGCCGGGGCCAGAGTCGTCATGCAGCTACGACACCCACGCAGCTGTACGTAAACCATACATAAGTCATGTTTCTCGACTACACAACCAGGAACTTCAAATACTTTCATCGGCGGATAAGAATCTCGTCGTGCCAGCAATATATGCTTTGTGTGTTCGTAACCCGTATTAAATATGTATTTTATGAAAAGGAAAAAAAAAATACTGTAGCAAGTTATTATAAAAATACTTAATAGGTCAAATATTAACTATGCTATTTATTTAAACTATGAGAAACCAAGTGTCCATGTGCTTTGCCATACCAAATATTTTGTCGATTGAAATAGTTCACCAACAATTAAAGTTAAGTATTTGAGTAATTAGAGACCTACGCATTATTAAAGACTGACTGATTACGTATTAAATTATTCATGGCAAATTATATACTGAAGACTAAGCCAATGTATTCTAATTGCAAACAAATCTAACCTAGGTTTTTGAAAATATTAGCGGCATTCAAATACTGTTTATACTTTGAAATTGCTTACTCGTGTAATATGAAATATATGAAATCCTTACGTAAGGATTTAGTCAGTAACACTGACTTGTCTTCGTCAGTGTTTATGTATTGAAGTACATGTTTTGATGCGGTCAGCACTTACCTGTAATCAATTAACTCATTTTATTGCCAACTTAACAGGTTATCTTCTATACTGTTACAATTTCATGTAAATGATAATGGTCATATAGTATCTATACCCTTAACTGGCTGCATGACGGTATTAAGTAATTGTTATATTGTGTATGGTGTTAGGGGCTGTCAGGGATACCATAGTTCACCCTGCAAGTTCTCTCTGGATACACACATCCATCATAGATGATAATTATCCCCACAACTACCTACTGTAAACAACCAGGGCCCAGATTCATGAAAGCACTTACGCAAACACTTACGAACCTGTATATCTTTTCTTAATCTTTGGTGGCTTTGTTTAAAATTATTAAACAGTTAATGAGCTCCGAAGCACCAGGAGGCTGTTTATAACAATAACAACAGTTGAATGGGAAGTTTTCATGCTTGTAAACCGTTTAATAAATGTACCCAAAGCCGTCAAAGATTGAGGAAAGATGTACACGTCCGTAAGTGCTTGCGTAAATTCTTCGTGAATCTGGCCCCATGTGACGCGTTTCCCCGTGACGTCACGATCGACGACGTCGCCGGCCAATGGTAGGGCTGGAGACAGGAGACGTCACGTTGACCGGGTCGTTGCTACCTGTCCTCTTACAAATTACGTCGCTTTTCGCTCGTATGCGGCGCACTCAGGCTAAAAATCAGTATAATTCAAAATCAAATCGACTCACGAAAGTGACGTACTGTCCCGGTTTCTCTTTTGGGTCCTCTGGCTTAGGCTGTTACGTTAGGAGAGGAAACTTTAAATTAACAGTTTTCATGACGTTTTGTAACTTTAGGAGAACTTCCTGCCATCCTAACAAATAAAGGACCCTTAACTTGCTGTTTTGGAGAAAAAATCCTAAATTTATTTTCATTTATTTTTCATTTTCAAATTACGGCCGTAGCGCATACGAGTGAAAAGCGACGTAATTTGTAAGAGACGGGTTGAGCTGCGACGCCTCACATGGGAGTAGGTGAGACATAGCTAGATATTCAAGACTGTGGCGATGTCCAGAGTTAGAGCTGCGTCTTGATTGTTGTTGTTGTTATAAATTCAGCTACTCGGAACAAGTTTCAAGTAGCACGGGCTATGGTGAGCCCGTAACTTACCTGGTACAGGAGCGGGGCAAGAAGCGCGGGCTATGGTGAGCCTCGTGGACGGGAGATGTCTCCCGTCTGCGTGTTGATGTTTGGGCACAGTAAAGTATTTGCCAGGTGCAGCCAACCCCATTCATTGTTATCTCACGGTTCACTTAGGTTTAGTAGTGAACAGCATGGTTTATAGTTAAGGTTATAAATGTTGTCCTGAGGTTGGTTATCCTGGTGGCTGGTATCTCAGTGTGATATGTTGTCCCTTATCCTTTTGATTGTTTCCTGTTTGTCGCTTGTTTGTGCAACTTTAGACGTTTTCCCTTTGTTGACCAAACTAAGGTCAGCAAAGGGGTTTGGTTTGGTCAAAATTTTGTTGACCAAACTGAACACTCCCTCTGTGTGCAGTCTAGCAATTACATAATAAAGAAGACAATTTATAGTAAGCTACCATTTCAAGTGACAGCCTATTCTGAATGTTTTTTTTTTTGGGGGGGGGGATAGGGAAGGTTTATTTAAACTAACAATGCTTGAATTAAACATATTTTGGTAAATAAAGAAAATTGAGAAACAAATTTAGATAGTAACAATATGGAAATCTAATCTGTTAGGGTTACAAATTTAGATAGTAACAATGTGGAAATCTAATCCGTTACTTAGCCTCACTCCCTTGATTAATTCACCTGGACAGAATCTAAAGGTACAGCGGAGGACGTAGGGACACAACACAACCATGAGAAACTAACTATAAGAAACATTATTGAGAAACGTAAATTTAGATAGGAGAGATTTCCATAATGTTACTTAAAGATCGTGACAGTCAAGTACACTGTCACGATCTTTTAATTCAACGTATGCTGTAAATAACTTTTGTTTCCTGGTTGTCTTGTGTCCCTACGTCCTCCGTTGTGCCTTAGATTAGATTTCCATATTGTTACTATCTAAATTTATTTCTCAATTTTCTTAATTTACCAAAATATGTCTAATGCAAGCAGTGTTAGTTTAAATAAACCTTCCCTATCCCCCCCAAAAAAAATCAGAATAGACTGTCACTTGGAATGGTAGCCTACTATAAATGGTCTCCTTTGTTTTATTATGTATATATTAATGTTATTAGGATTGTAACAATTGCTGGTGTTTGCATTACTTTTTTTCATTATTCAAAATCATGTTGTGTGAGCATCGTGAAGAGTAGCATTGAAACGGAATGGCCACGTCAGTGGTGGAAACTAATCTACCACACTGGCCTTCAAAAACAAATCTATACCAGGTCCGGCAACAAATTTCATACGAGTTTTTAATGGTATTAAAATATTATAATTGAACTTTATTGTTTCTGAACTGAAACATATTTTCTATAGAAAAAAAAACACGGGAATGGTTCAAAATGTGCAGACACTACGGTAAGGCAACTTTCCCCTCGCGTGCCACCAACACTTTGCCACACTGGGTCTACTGCTCAAGGCTCGCTATTTGAAAATAAGGGCGCCCTATGGCGTAATGGTTGGCTCCCTCGTGGCAAGTAGACTAATCTGGGTTCAGATCCTGGGCACGTTGGTCTGATTGTGTGGTGTTCTTCCACTCAGATCGCCCATGGATGCCCAACTGTACTTGGGGGGAGAGGCCTGGATGTAAAACTATTAACGTAACGTGTTCTGGGGAAACATATGACGTTGAACAACCATACAGGTTCTAGTAACTGGCCCCGAGCCATTACCACCCCTCCCATCCTCTCCTCCCCGGAAAAAAATGAGCATCGTTACATTAGCTCTCGTATAATGAGGCATCACAGGCTCTGGGAATATCTACTCAGTTACTCACTGTCGACTTGAGTACTGGCGGGGTACAGTAAGCAGTACCGGGAGGGCTACAGCAGTACCGGGAGGGCTACAGCAGTACCGGGAGGGCTACAGCAGTACCGGGAGGGCTACAACAGTACCGGGAGGGCTACAACAGTACCGGGAGAGGTAACGCGGGTTAAAATGCCCGTCACGCCCCATAAATGTTGCTGGAGATCTTTAGTAGTAATGGCATATCAGAGGAGAGAATGTGAGGGGTCCTTCAGGCTATAGAGCAGCGGCTGTTTAATGCTAAACTGTGAGTTACTGTGTCTCAGTCACCTTGTGGCTCTTGGGGTCACTTACTCATTGGCCAGACCTCTCATCACCACACCTCTTGACTGATGGTGTGATCAGCCAAATTGTTGGTGCCTGTAGCTCGCATTTAAAAGCTCACGGGTACCTTTTCCACAAGTACTCTTTATTATCGCTACTTTCTACAGTTTTACCAGATCACGTGATCTCCTTGGGAATTATTTATGAACAGATTATGAACCGGTTCAAGAACGTTGCTGTATGGCGCGCCTGCGCTCTAGCCAACATAGTTTAAGGGATGTTGAGATATTTCAAAAAATATTTTGGTCATGTTGAATAGATTCATCATTTTCTCTATGCAGTCTTCTGGTCAGTTATTTTGCCATACTCAAATGGGATAATTTGCTGCAGTTTTTCACCCTAGGGTGTACTGGTGACGTACACCCTAGAGTGATCAGTCACCAGTACACCCTAGGGTGTACTGGTGACTGTACTCCACCCTAGGGTGTATTGGTGACTGTGTTCCACCCTAGGGTGTACTGGTGACGTACACCCTAGTGACCAGTCACCAGTACACTCTAGGGTGTACTGGTGACGGTGCTACACCCTAGGGTGTACTGGTGACTGTGTTCCACCCTAGGGTGTACTGGTGACTGTGCTCCACTCTAGGGTGTACTGGTGACTGTGCTCCACTCTAGGGTGTACTGGTGACTGTGTTCCACCCTAGGGTGTACTGGTGACTGTGTTCCACCCTAGGGTGTATTGGTGACTGTGTTCCACCCTAGGGTGTATTGGTGACAGTGCTCCACCCTAGGGTGTATTGGTGACAGTGCTCCACCCTAGGGTGTACTGGTGACAGTGCTCCACCCTAGGGTGTACTGGTGACAGTGCTCCACCCTAGGGTGTACTGGTGACAGTGCTCCACCCTAGGGTGTATTGGTGACTGTGCTCCACTCTAGGGTGTATTGGTGACTGTGTTCCACCCTAGGGTGTACTGGTGACAGTGCTCCACTCTAGGGTGTACTGGTGACTGTGTTCCACCCTAGGGTGTATTGGTGACTGTGTTCCACCCTAGGGTGTACTGGTGACAGTGCTCCACCCTAGGGTGTACTGGTGACAGTGCTCCACCCTAGGGTGTAC